CGGGATCTCTGACTTATGCTGCCCTATATAGGTCATGCGGTGGAACGGACTACTTGGGAGGGCTTTCCTGGCTTGGCTCCATGGAAACTTAGGTTCAGAGAGCCCTATACAGAGAAACAGCATAGTAGAGGAGATGAGAAACCTACAGAGAGATGGCAAATGGCCACAACTAGAAATTTTTGGCAAACCTGAATTTTCTTTATTTTTTTCTAAGGTGTTTTCCATAGGATGGTACAGACTGGCTGGAGAAAGACAGAGAGATGATAAGTGAGAAATCAACCCCAGGGGGGATGGCCACACTGCAATCCCTTCTCCTCTGGTCTCCTCTCAGGATTTTAGGTGTAAATACACCAGAATGATTTTCAAGCTGCTGGGCCTGGAACTTGAACCCGAGTTGGCCCATGTAGGAGTCAGTATCTTAAACATCACAATATCTGCTAGCCCCTGAATTTTCTTAATACATAAAACTGAAGAAAAAAATACTACACTTTGACATTTTTCAACCATACTGATTTTAATACCAAAGGTTTTCTGGTCCTTAGATGTTTTTTGCTCCATCTAATAGCAGCACTTCTACATTGATTTAAAAAGATTTAAAGTATCTACAGTCTTAATTATAGAAGGTCCAGATTTCTAATCAGTTTCTCTCAAAACTGTTTTCAAGGCTCAGCTTTTGTGTTAACATCTCTACTCAACCTAACGGACGAGTGGTTTTATTTACAACTAACTCTATAAAATATGAATCACTACAACATAACAATGAATATCTGGAAAAAATGTATTACTGTGCATTACATCTGACAGCACTGAAATGCTCGCTAATTATATGTAAGTAAAAACACCAAAGTAACGTCACTCTTAAAGCAACTGACTTAAAATATTCAGGGCCAGCTGGTGGTGTGGTGGTTAGAGAAGGTGGATCCAACATGGCCAACTGCATGGATGCCCAAAATCCTGCAAGGAGGGAAAACTGAAGGAAAAGGGATTGTGGTGCCTCCTATCTCCCCCATCTTTCTCCTGCAAGTACATGCACCTTCTCCTAAAATTTTAAAAAATATTCAAAACAAGCAGAGGGCTGGCCAGTAGCTTGGTAGTTAGGATGGCTAGATCCCACATGGCTAACTACATGGTTTGTGTCCTCGACCTGATGACCTGAAAAACACACAGGGTACGTGTAACCGGTGTGCCCCAAATCTCAAGAGGATAGAGAAGGTATTGCAGCTGGCTATATGGGGCGGACACGTGCTTTCTCACTTTCTCTGTGTGCCCACAAGCCCTGCAGCAAGTTAGGTCTTAATTTTTTACCATCTGCAAAACACAGCAAGCCCTGCTAAATTACCTATACAAGGGAATGTTATCCTACAGTTAAAATGAGTGAAGCACATACGCGGTACAATCTAAACACTACGCTAACCCAGGCACAAAAGGCCACACAGTGAATGATTCTATTTGTATAAAGTGTCCAGAACAGGCAAATCCATAGAGACAGAAAGTAGATTACTGGTTGCCAGGGACTGGGGCACGGGGAAAGGAGGAGTGTTAACAGGTACTGGGGTTTCTTTTTGAGGTGATGAGAATATGGGGCACGGGGAAAGGAGGAGTGTTAACAGGTATTGGGGTTTCTTTTTGAGGTGATGAGAATATTCTGGAATTAAGATAGCAGCGATTGCTGCACCTGAAATACATGGGAAAAACCACTGAACTAAGTATATGAGAAGTATATGAACTAGAGGAAACGAAAGAACACTGGTCTCTAAAGGACCCCCTTTGTGGGCTTAAAAACAACTCCAGAACTCCTAGATTCTCTTGCTCCTGTTCCATTCAAAAGCCACCCACCACACAGAATGCTGCTACTGTGGGAGGTTAGAGAAGGCAGCACACAAGCAAAGGAGGCCCACCCAGAGCAGCCAAAGATTGGATTTCTAAACACATCGCTACCAGTGAACTGCTGGTTATTTAATTTATCTTAGAGAGAGATTTTTGCTATAGGGCAATGTGTGCTCATGGGAAAGACAGACAAATCAAGAAATCACCCCCAGGGTGGATGGGCAGGTCTCAATCCCTGCTCCACCAGTCTCTTCTCGAGATTTTGGGCACACATGCACACACATCTGCTGCTGAGTTTTAAGCCGCTGGGTCTGGGGCTTGAACCACAGTCGACTACATGAGAGTCCAGCAATGTAACCATTATGTCCTCTGCTGGTCCCTTTATTTTTAAACTAGAAGTAACTAGACCCTTGTACAATCACTGTCACAGGACTTCAGGTAGCCAAGCTCAGGGCTTAGGCAGAACTGGTGCTTCCCGGCTCATTCCAACCTAAGGGACCATTACATGAAACTACAGTGTGGTTAAAGCCCTCAGCCTTAGGCGCAAATGAGATAAATAATGGAAAGTGACTCACAGGCTGCCTGCCAGTCAACACAGACACATGGACTTCAAAAAAGCTCAAAGAAAAAAACGGAATTAAAGTAAAAGTTTATTCTGGTACAACCAATTTTTGAAATCCCTGCAGTGTTTCATGATACGCATTTCCCATGAACTTTTCAGACCCCTCGTACAACAATTACCCTCTTTGACTCTTCCCTCTTCTCAGCCATGCTGCATTATTTCAGGTCTGCACCTGGGCAGGCAGGCAGCGCTGACCAGACTACTGGCTTCTCTTAGGTAATGATCAGAAAGCACAAGGACGAGGGGACAACCTACAACAAAAGCCCAAGGAAATAGGCCAACCTCCACTATTGCCTTGGGTGGTGGCACCGCCTGTGTGCGCTCTGTAACAACTAAGGCTTTAAGAAAATGGGCACTAAACTACCCCAAACTCTGCAACCCCAAAAGCAGCCACTTGCACAGAAAAAGCGATTTCCAAATGTCTAAATTGTAAGTAACTCCCAAAGATCAGGCCCCTCGACTTTCTCCACTCCCTAGCTGACAAGACCTGGGCAACTTTATGACTAACAGTTTTTGAGGTCTGGAAAAGTAGGATGGTAATTTGGTAAGACTAAAATATGTAGACTACATTAGCTTTTAAATTACTGTAAAAACAACAGGGCCACACGAGAAAAAGTAAACTTACTGGTTATCTCTCTGTATCTAATTTCAAGTATTATCCCGAATTCAGCGAATCCATCAGCTACCAAAGCCTGACTCCCTCCGTATCAGTGAACACCAAGGCTCGGGTTCCAACAAGGTCAGTGCGCAGTCACTCCGAGCTACGGAAACAGGCAGGACTAGCTGCTAAGCGCGGCGTCACACCCCCAGGAGGCCGCAGGGTCCCGCGAGCCCCGCAGCGACCGCCCGCACACTGACAGCCAGACCGCCGCAGCGCCGCTGGGCCTCGCTCGGCGTCCTCCTCTCGCTGCGGGTTTCCGCGAGGCACAACCAGACCAGCTGTTAGGACCCCCTAAACGCTCTATTCCAGCCATTTAAGAGTTTTACAATTGTCTAATCCTCAAGAGTCATTGTATTTTGAGGTTCCACCCAAACCTGAACATTGCAGAAAAAGCTCTGAAGTGACGCCGGAGGAAGGGTCGCCCCACTTAAAAGCAGTACTCGCCCTAACCCAGGCGCTCCCCTGGCCAGCCCCGGCGGGACCGCCCTGTCCCCGCAGCATCCCAGCTACGCAGCCAGGCAGCGCGTGAACACAGCGAGGTGACAGGAGACCCGCCAGGGTCGGGAAATGCCTTTCCTCCTTCTAAGTTGGAAACAAAGATTGGCCCGGAGCAGACGAGCCCCCTTCGCCGTAGGTGTTTTCCCCTGGCCTCCGTTAAGGGCAACGCAGCAGTAAGGCCGAAACCCCAAACCCAAACCTCGCCGCGCGGAGGAAAGGAGCGCGCCTGCCCCCGACCCGGCCGACACTCAGACCCCGGAGTCAGGGGTGTCCAGCGCCAGTCGCTTGCACCAGCCCGACCTAGTCGCCAAGACCCGCAGAGGAAACGGCCGACTTTCCCCTAACGCCCGGGGCCTCCCGCTGGCGGGGGGGGGC